TACACATACATCAAATCACCACATTGTACAACTTAAAGTTATATAACGTTATATGTCAGTTATGTTTCAATAAAGCTGGGGAATAAAAAAATGATATAGGAGAGGATTTAATTGTAGGAGCTATATCCTTAGGTAGTGAAAAAAATCCAGTACTCAGTGTTGTGAGTTCAACTGTGCCTCCCATAAAGATATATTCAAATCCACCTATAAACTTGACCTTATTTGGAAATAGGGTCTTTGCAGATGTAATCACGTTAAGGTGAGGCCATACTGGATTAGGGTGGGCTTTAATACAATAACTGGTATCTTTATGATAAGAGCAAATTTTGGGCATAGACACACCCAGGCGGGAATAGTGTGCAATGTAATGATGCAGGCAGAGATGGTGTGCAGGATTCCAATCAGTCAGTGAGAAAGGACGCACAAGTTGGAGTACAATGAAGAAACAACAGAAAGTGCCGGGATTATTTAGGGTACCAAGTAGCTCTGAGTGTGTTGGGGCAACTTTGGTGAGAAATAAAACTTAAAATGTGAATTAAAGTCAATTTCTTAGTATCCCAATTTATATTTGATTTTTCAAAAAGATAGTTTATTGTTTCCATTTGCTTCAACCTAAGCAAATGTGATATTCCTCTGAGAACTGTAGAGGGCAGCCTGACACTTACTATGGAAGATCCAAAACTAAAATACAAATTAATTTATTCTAAGCAGTAACACTTTATGTATTTTACTGGGGTTGCCCTGCAAGTCAGCAAAAGCAACTAATCAACTATGTGAAATCATTAACAAAACCTGTTGATACTGGTGTCATATTGAGAAAACTCTGGTTAATTGACAAAATTTTTATATTTCAGGCTTATCCTTTGGTATCATATAACCTGCTCTCTGACATCTCTCCCATTGTAAAAACTGTTTCATAGTGACCATAGTGATAAATATCAATCCTATTTTATGAGTGAGAAAATATAGTGTGAGACAATGCTTTTAATAGCACTTATACAATCAAACAAAGACAGAACCAAAACAACTGATTTTTGTGAAATCTATTATTTCGTTACAAGGAGGTTAAAGCTATATCTCCATTTCAGTTGCTTTGTGGTAATATTTGAATGCAGCTAAAGACCCTCTGTAAACCAAGCCATTTGTTACTTTTATAAATAATAATAATAATAATAACTTACACAATAGTGCTTTCATATGCACTACCTCATTTAATCCTCACAGCATAACTATATTGCATACACTGAACATATTAGCATCCTCATTTTACAGACTGCTTAACTGAAATTCAGAGAGGGTAAATTGCTTTCCCAAAGTTATAAAGCCAGTAAATAACAAATTTATGATTAAATTAGAACTTAGGCTTGTCACTGACTAGTCCTTTGGCATTTATGCAATCCCTACTGACTCCCTTAGTTTCATATAAATTAACAATTTCTGTCAGGTTTAGGAGAGACATAAAACAGCTTTACAAGTATTTATCACTATACACACTCTCATTGAGGAGTAAAGCCAGTCACATTCAATGTAAAATACACTATAAATTTTCTTTAACATTTTTGGTCATCTATCTGAGTATTCAATGAAATTGATGAGAAAACTGTACATGGGGCCATAAATATTTTTGTTATTATTATTGATAGAGCCAAATAACAGTAGCATTTTAGTTGTGGCTCTGGGTCATTTTGTTCCCTAATTATAACATGGAGCACTGAGCATTCTCCCACAAATTATTGGAGCCAAGTATGTCTTTAGGAAGGAAAGGTTGTTAAAAAGAAAAGGTGATATTTTTATTATTGGAAGTTATGATGCTTGCTTTAGTAATTCAGATTTGGTACTGCAAATATTGTCCTTGCCAGCACATTTTAAAAAATATTGACAATAAGAATACCAGCTCAGGATCAAATGGGTATAGCTCTATTTAAATTCTTCTCCCTCCAGAAATCTTCATTTTGGGAAAGAGTCCAATTCTGACAATCTCATGTGTTCTAGGGTGCAGAATTTTTCATTTGAGGAGCATCGAAGCAATCCTAAGGGGCTCTTAAAAAAGGACAGAAGCCTAAGAGGGAGACTTCAAAATGTTGGCTAGGAGACAAATAAAACACACTTCACTTTTAAATGAATGCAAAATATTGTGTGTCTTAGAGATTATTCCCAATGTGTAATTTAAAAAACATTGGCCTGTGTTCACAAAGAAGGGGGCATACTTACCCCTAACCTTCAAATAATAAGTATTCAAAATGTCTTTTTCATGAAGATTCTCATTCATAAGTTTAGACGTCATTTTTATTAGCCAAATGACATTTGAATATCTTGGGGAAAGAGAAGAACAAAACTGGTTTTTTCCTTCCATTTTATTTTAAGTAAACTAATTGAAATGATTATCTTCCATTAATAAATTTGAAAAATGTCTAGTTAATAGATTTGGGGAGAATGGAGGATGGGATTTGCATTTCTAAGGAAGCTCATTTGAAACATGAATGTGTGGCTAGTAGTTGAGCATTTGTTTTTATTCAGGGTAAAAAGTAAAGTGCGCATCCTCTTCTACTGCCTAAGTTCTCCACTTGCATTTTTTTTCTCTCATCATGCCCATTGAATTGTTTTACATACTAAAGAATGTGCATTGGTTAGAATTCTTCCCTGTTCATCAATGATAATCTCATTGGCCCAGAATGAATATAGCTAGTCATAAAACGTGCCTTGTTTCTCCTAGAATTGACTGTATTACTGGCTTTATCCCCGTAGAGAGCTAGAACTGGATTTAGAAACATTAGCTTTAGTCAGATTCTCATGATCCCAGAGTTTTATAATAAGTCTCTGCTTCTGGAAGTTTCTGTGGATCTAACCTCATTTACATAAGTGAATTACTGAAAGAAGGAAAAATAATCCTTAAACATAAAAGGCAGAACATGTAGTACAAAAATAAAATCCATGAACCAGAGTCAGTTCTTTTCTTTTACGACCCCCTGACCCCCCTACCCTCTGGTAACCACGAAAAGGTTGTCTGTGTCTATGAGTTTTGTTTGTTTTTTGTGCTCATTTGTTACTTTCAGTTTTATATCCCACATGTGAGTGAACACACAATGCGATATATAGATGATGTATTATAGAAATGTACACTTGAAACCTATATAATTTTACTAACCAACGTCACCCCAATAAATTTAATAAATAAAAAAAATCCATAAGTTGATAATAGTGAATACTAAGGGAAATCCTAATTTTAAAATGTTAGATATAATATATGCCTGGCCTGTTGCTATTATAACTATACTAATAGTACATCTTTAGCAAGATGTCATTCTCTTTCTTTGACATAAGATGACCTAATTTATTAATTTCAAAACTAAATTTGGCTGGTCACTCTCCAAGAATCCACAGCAAAAACATATTAAATTATATAATCTTAAATTATATAATATCACCAATTAAAGGACACATATATGGGACATTAGATAGCATAGTAAAAATACTTTTAATTAGATTTTCTAAAGTCAAGAAAATATTCACTAAAGAGATGATTTTTGTAACAATATTTCATAAGAAATGAAAGGCTTTCTGTGAGTAAACTGCAATGAGATCATACCAAAATGTGCTTCCATGTAGTTAAATGATTTTACATATTGAATGGAGTTATTTAAAATTGATCACAAAAAATGTTGGCGAACACTTATCAAGTACAAAAAAGTCATTAAATATAAGTTGGTCTTCCTGGTTTTAATTGATCAACAGGTTCAGTGATTCCTAAGACTATTTGCAGTACTGAAAATACAACTTGTCTGTATAAAGTGATTAAGATAAATAATAAAAAAATGTATGCTAGAATGCAATCTTGATCAACACTGTTGAGGATTGGAATTATCTTTCCACCTAATTGTATTATAGCCATAATATTGTGAAAATGATTTTAAAGAAGAAGGTATAGCTTAGAATCTACTCTGAGATTGTACAATTTGACCCATATATTATTTTTCTGTGAAACTGAGAGTGACAATAGATTAAACAGTGACAAACCAAATTGATTTTAAAAATATTAGTGATTATTTATGCACTTATTATGTACCAGGAAATGTACTAAGCATTTTAAATATATTATCTAGTGTAATCCTTCCATCAATGCTATGAAGTGAGAATTATAGTTTTATAATAATATCAATTTGCAAATAAGAAAATTGAGGCATAGAGACAGCAGAAAATAAACAAATAATTGTCTAGTAAGAGACAGAACCAGGGTGTAAACTCAGGTCTGTCTGGCCTCGAAAATGATTTCTTCTGAAAGAGAATATAAGAGAAACTTACCAGTTGCTTGTAGAAGACAGTACTTTGAAAATTTTAAAATTAATTTTTAATAAAAACTTACACTTAAGTTTTTATAGAATCTCTAAAAGACTTAATGGCACCAAACCTAAGGTTAAAAGGAAAATCTTGTTTAAAAAATGGGTACGACATCAGTAAAGTGCATACTAGGAAGTCCCAGGCCTTATTACCCCTTGGAAACATCAAGAAACAAGGAGAGACTAGCTAAAATAATTTAATAGAAGCTCTGAAAATAAAGTTTAGAGTAATCAAGTGAATGTCCAATTAAGAAACAGTTACATTCAAAACTGTAGGAAATTGGAGAGAAGAAAATGGCCGCGGTAAGGAAGTCACTGAATTAGCTCGCGCAAACCACGGCAGCGAAAATACAGCTCCGCGGGACACGCTGAGCAGCAAAGGGACTCCCACGCGGACTACTTAGAGGTGGGCAGACCCGGCGGGTTCGGGAGTTGGGCAGCGAGGCGAGTGGAGACACGGGCGGCGCCCGGTCTTCTGAGTCGTGGAGCTCCGCAGATCGGAAACTTCCCCTGCCCGTCCGCCAGCCCGGGCGCGCACTAGGGCAGAGTCATCGGGCCCGCGCCAAGCGTTTATGAGGAGGACGCCTGGGAGGAAGCCGACTGCTCGCGCCCACGGAGGCGGAGACGGGGATTCTCAGTAGAGAACAATCACTGCTCACCCCCTACCCTGCTGGCATGCGCGCTAAGGCAGAATCCCCGGGCCGCGCGCTAAGGCAGAATTCCCGGGCAGCGCGCATCGCTGATCGAGGGAGAAGGAGGCAGCTTGCTCGCTCCCGGTGACTGAGACGCCGGATCTCAGTGGATTGGAGTTCTCGCGGCTCCCTCCCCACCCCTCCAGCATGGGCGTGCTAAGGCAGAGCCCTTGAGCTGTGGGCAACAGACCGCAGGCATAGTCTGGGTGCTCCTGCAGCTGCGGGTA